CGTCAATATTCTTTTTTTTTTTTTAAGTTTGAGAACAAATACTTGGATAAAGGCATCTATTGTGTATATATATTTTTTTTAAATATTTTGGGGGAGAATCTGGAGGATGATTTAGATTTGAGTATTTCTTTAGGACTTGACCAGAGATGATGTAAATGAGACTATTCCCTTTTATCAACCCTATCACAGCAGATGTGTGGATAGTGCTGAGGGGATGGTAAGAATGGAAAGGAAGGGCCGGCCAGATAGCTCTGCCGATTAAAGCTATTGAGACTGGGCGCGGTGGCATGTGCCTGTAATCCCAGCACTTGGGAGGCTGAAAAACAGGATGATCACTAGGAGTCCATCAGTGTAGTGAAACCCTGTAGACCCTGTACTAAACACATTTAAAAAAAAGAAAAGAAAAGAAAAAAGAATGAAAAGGAACATTTAGCTCACAGTTAAATTCTGGACGCATTTGCATGCAAATTTAGTGGTTTAGGCTAATTTAGAAATTAACTTTTTTTGGAGGAGCTGTGTCTATTCTGTGCTTAAAATATATACTCAGATATTCAGATCCAAACACACACAGCTCAAAGGACAGTTGACTTTATAAAGCCAGAACCAGTAGGATGAAACGGGAAATTGAGTGAGGTGCAATTATTTTGGTTGAAGCTTAAATCAGACCACATCTGAAGAATAAAGTTCGCGCATTCAGCCCTTCTCCTCTGTCTTAGGCTCCCAGAGCCTGGCTCAGCCAAAAGCTGCTGCCACCAAAGCGTCTGCCCCTCTTTATTTCATCTTTGTGAAGCAAAATCATTATGGAATTGCGTATACATTAGTACACTCCACACCGAGATGAGCCACGTGGTAGGCTGACAAGCCAAGCTGGGCGCACAGATTTAGCTGTGCTGAGGAGCCCCGCCTGCCCCGCCTGCCCCGCCACGCTTACCTTCTGCACAGAAACTCTCGTAATCCGGACAGCACTTGCCGTACTTCGCACAGTGGGCATCACAGTCACATTCCCTCCCTCGGGAGAAGGACTCGAAGCAGCGGCCTTTACAGGAAAGCTCTACCCAGAGCAAAACAGACGTTATGGATTACTGACGAATGATTATGAAGCCAGCCATACTCATGTATTTAGTAGCCATTGCCCACGTCAGAGCTGACTGGAGTACCAAAGCTGCATTCCTAAAATTTCCGTTCGAAATCTGGAGTTTATCATCTAGTAAAAATGGCTGATGCCCCCAGTGGGGACAGCCCAAGTCAGAAATGCTGACACAGAAGTGTTCTGTGCTCCTGAAGGTGCTGTAAGACACCCCAGTGCTTCCTGAGTTCCTTCCTTGTATGGATGGACAATTGAAAAATGTTTAAGTTGTGAAATACTCTTCCTATGAACTCCTTCTGTTCTTTCTTCCTCGTACCATTGATTTTTTTTTAAATTTTTATTTTATTTATTTGGTACAGGGTTTCGCTCTGCAGCTCAGACTCATAGTGATCCTCCTGTCTCAGCCTTCCTAGAGCTGGGATTACAGGCATGTGTCACCACAGGCAACATGGCATGCAGCACCGGGGATTGAACCTGGTTGCCAGGCAGGTGCTTAGACCTCCAAGCTGTCTCTCCAGCCCCACTGATTTGTATTTAATGTTCATATCTAGAACTGCCTGAATGTAAATAATTTGCTGTTCAGACTCAAAAGACATTTATAATACAGACACTTATTTACTATAGCAAATGGAGCAAGGAGGAAAGTTAAAGATTTCAGGCTGAGGGCGGTGGCATAAACCTATAATCTCAGCATTCTGGGAGGTAGGAGGATCACAAAATTTGAGTGACTTATCAAGACCCTGTCTCAAAAAAATGTAAAAAGTCTGGGAATGTAGCTCAGTGCAAAGTCTCTGAATTCAATCCTCGGTTAAAAATAAAATCAAATCAAAAATAAAAAAGTCTAATCTCATTGGCATAGATGCTATTGAGAAGCCTGTTCATTTTAAGTTTTGGTCAAGGCTTCCCAAGGCCCACCTAAAAAAATTACTTTAGACAACACAGTAAGTGCTCAGTAATGTAGTAATCAGTTTCACGCAAAATTCTAAACCAAAGCTAACTTTTATAGAATGTTAACTGTAAGTTTGATAAGTTGAATATGAAATGCTGCTGTATCCGTAGCCAAGGAGCCCAAAGGATCAGCACTGAAATCCCAGGTAGAATTTAAAATTCAGCTCCATTGAGCTTTAACTGAAACTTATTATTATTAACTACTAGTGCTCTATTCCTAAAGGTGTCCTTTTCAATTGATTTAGAAACATGTTAATACCCAAAATGTCAAATAATAAACAAGATGATTCTTGTTGCCCATGGACTCTTTCGATGAAATATTTAAAAGCCCCATCACTAAGCAATTACATACCTGGTTGCTGGTACAGAATGACACATTACTTAATGGCCCCCGAGTCACACTGTTAAGTCTTTCTTTCGAACAAGTTTTATTGGCTAGTTCCCTCAGAGCTAGCCAATAATTTTGTGCGAGTGATGGATCTCCCGTCTTGACACCCCCATCCCCTTTGATACCATCCTTAGGAACAATGCTCTGCGACATGTATGCAAGTGAAGGGAGAGACACTGGAGCAAAGGAAGTGCAACAGGAAAGCAGCACAGTGAGGGGTGCCAGGGAAAGCTGGCAGCACAGCCCTTGTGGACAGAGGAGGCCCGCTCTCGGGACTTACCTGTGGTGCAGACTTTCTTGAAATCAGGGCAGCACTCCATGTAGTGTTGACAACTATAGTCACAGTTGCAGGTGGCATCTCTAGAATACCCTTCCCCACATCTCCCTGCACAGCTTGATAGATCTAAAATTATACAATACTAGGGTAAACATGGCCAAACCACTTTTAGCAAGGGAGAGACCTAAGGAAGAGGACAGAACTCATTGATCAATGAGGAACCATTTACTGAATGGAAAAAACTGAGTATAGTGGTGGGTGACAGGGCTAGCCGATATTTGCCTGATCTTCCATGTGACCTCGATCTTGACCCTTTATTCTTTATCAGCATGAAAAGATAATACATGCTGGAAATCAGGCACAGTAGTGGCTTAATCTGAAGAGTGATGTTTTGGAGAAGAGGTAGCACTACAGCTAACAGGGAGGCAGGCTGTGGCAGGGATTACGAGCAACCATTCATTGAGCATTGCTGGGCCAGTACTGAGTCACACACTGTGTCTCAACATTATGAAACTGTGTCCCAGAGGCTGTTAGTAGCCCTTTGAGATTAACAAAAGCAGAAACACTGACATTTGAATAACTTGCTCCGGACATAGGGTTGGTTAATAGTTCCAATATTTACATCGTATAGGTTGATTAACGCCTGCTAATTATTTGTACTGATCCATTTTACTTCTACAAGTGCCCTTCTGGGGAGAGCCAATTATATGAGCATCCTAAGTAAACAGCCTATCTAGAATCTGGACTCTGATCTATCTGACGCCACAGCCCAAGCTTTTTACACCCAATTACTTATGATAAGTTCAGAACAAGCTAGTTGTGTACTCATGGACTTTACTAGATTTTTTTTCCCCTTTATTGGTAGGGAGAACAGAACCTTGGGGCTGAGGATAGAGCTCGGTGGTACAGCACCTGCCTAGTAAGGGCAAGGTTGTGAGTTCAATTTCTGCTACAAAAATCATAGAGAATGCTTGGAATAGTATCTGAGCATGACTATAAATACCACAGAATTTTTCTAGACAAAAAATATTGAAGGTCTAATTATCCTTCAACAGTTTCTAAAAGTCATAAATGATGCCCTAAAAGCCTCCCCGAAAAGCCTACAGGAATGTAGCTATGGAATTCATCTCTGGAATAGAAATTGGTAGGTGCAGTTTCCTAAGTCCATAGAAGAATGTTGAAACACACTGAAAAAATCTCAAAAGGAGAGAATCCAGGAAAGTTAAAGTCTTAATATGCAAATAAACAATAGAGTAGGATTACTTTCATAACTTTTTGAATAAATACATGTTCACAGTACATACATAATGCATATATAGTATATGTACATAAATACATATATCATATATAACGAAAAAAAGAATGAGAAGCAGTTTAGAAGGCAAGAAAAGCAGACAAAACAGCATCACAAGAATATTCTTTTACATTTGGCAGATTTCTGAAATTAGAAATCAATTATCTTTACAGGAAAAGTTAATTTTCATAGATGAGATGTCGGTTCTGTTTTCATTGCTATCAAATTCAACCAGTGATTTAAATTTTACTCATTTTAAAGAAAGTAAAACATACAGTGAACAATCGTGTTAGAGTAAAAAAGGTGGTTTAGGAAATGCACTAGTGTTGCAAGTCTATAATATTAGGAGAGAGACCTGAAGAACGTCAGCACCCTAACTTAGTCCTCATATTTGCTTATCTTTCCATCTGTTTTCATCAAAGCCCTTCTATGCAAGCATTTATTGCTCAGGTTTCACGAGCACTGTATTTTACCAGAAATGTCTACTTCAGAAATGAAACAACCATGAGTCTTAATTTTTCTTCTTATGTTTTGCATATAAAAGGGGAAAAAAGGAAACACTAAACCTGGCCATTATCAGCACTAAACAATCTGAATAGAATGCTAGAGACATTGGCTAGTGTGATTACAGCCAGGGTACATTGACATTCTCTAAAAATGAATAATGAGTGGTTTGTTCAGGACTGACTCTGAGGAGGCTGATGAACAGCTCGATATTATAATGCAACCTGACCTTCATATCTGTGTAAATGTTGCCTGTCTGTGTAATAATCCTTGTAAGAAAGAATACTCATGATTAATAAAATGAAATATGAAATCACCATCAAGATGATGATGCCAAAATAAGTTTTCTATCAATAAGTTATTTGGTGGAAAAGGGCTAAGTTTATTTATCAACTTAGAGCCCAAATTATATAATACTTAAATATTGCTCTTTTCAGTGATTTTTTAGGATATTTCATAGTTTGGTCACATATGTGTGTTTTTTAAAATTTTTGGGAGAATCATAGACAGGATAAGTGCCAAAATTACAGTATTTTATACAAAAATTCAGGGCTGGGCTCTAGCTCAGTGGTAGAGTACTTGCCTAAGGAATAAGGTCTTGGGTTTGATCCCAGAACTACAAAGTAAACAAAACAAACCAACCAACCTTCTTGAAAGATTTTTCAGTACAGGAGGAAAAGCTAATAATTGTAAAACATTTATGACTATACCACATATGTTTTGTGTAATTTTCAGGTTGTACTAATTATTAAATCAAATAAATATAAATTTATAGAAATCTGTTTTTATTGTCAAGAAAATTAACCAAATGCTTAGTAGTAGTTGTTAAATGAAAGAATTTCTAATGGTTAAAGCAGGTACCTTGAGATGAAACTTGCTGAACCAAGAAAACAGAAAGTAACAGCAGCAAGAAGACGGGAAGGATTTTCCATTCCATGGTTGCTTTCGGGCACAGCACCCTCACTGGAGATAAAATAGATGCATCAGAAGGCCGTGTTTTAATCTTACCACTAAATAATATGTGCTATGCACAAGGTAAAAATCCTGTGTTAGTAATTTTCAAGATTTGTTTATTAATAAAACCACCCCATTCTTAAGACTTCGAAGTTAATCAGCTCAAATTCTATAGAAAATATTCGATCACTGTATTTAGTCTGACGCAAAACAAGTTATCAAACCACGTCAATCATATTATTTAACATTTTAATACCTACAATTCACCAACACAGAAAACAGACTTACGTTACAACTCTATGCAAAGTATTGCTTGCGCTTACAATACAAGGTAAAAATCCTGTGTTTGGAAAAAAGGTTACCAGTTTCAGTAACATTTAATTTAACAAGCATGATGGAGTTAGTGTTCCAGCTTGCCTTTACCTTTAATATAAATTTACAGGCTTCAAACAGGAGAGCTGCATAACAAATACAATCTTTTTCAAAAGTCTCCAAGTACTACCTTATAAACTTGCTTCCAGCACCTATAATGAAAACACATTTAATTGCACAAAGCAAGTTAATTTTGACACTTACCCGTAAAAGAATAGGTGGATTTCTCCACTGTCCTGGATGTCTTATATATCACGGCAAATATATTGAGATGAACCAATTAGTCCAAAGGTTAGACAAAATCAACACTGACAACCTATGAAATCAAGCTTTCCTCATTTATTGGAAAGAGGCCCAGACGACTAGACTTAGGCAACATCTGGAAAAAACTTCCATTAAGAAAAATGACTACTACAAAATAAATTTAGATTTATTGGTGAAAAACATTTGTAATTTCTAAGTGAGATGAACAAATTGTTCTGTGATGGTAAATTATTCTGGCACGCTTTAACTAATGTATCAAAGTAGCAACTTCAAAATAAGCAAATGGTGTTATTTCTTCTCTCTCTCTCTCTCTCTCTCTCTCTCTCTCTCTCTCTCTCTCTATTTTCAGATTTACTTTTTCTCCAGATTAATCTAGCAAAGGTGGTTTTGAAATAAATGCAGTTTTAGGCTGTGTCATTAAATTTCTGAACTTCTATCAATAAATCAAATGTACCGTATATTTCTTTTTTTTTAACTATTTTCATTTTCCTGAGCATAGAAAACATGCTCTCAGTTACCTACAGGTAAATTACCAAGCTTCATTTACTATGTGAAGACCTTAAAAGCTGTACTGATATTTCCCTTAGCCCCTTTGTTTGAGACCAGTATTGTTTGGAAAAGTTCTTTTAAATTACCAATTTATAGGGCTGGGGAGATAACTCAGTAGAATAAGTACTTGCCAAGCAAGCGCAGGGTCCTGAGTTCAATTCCCAGTACCTTAAATAAATGAATGAACAAACAAATAAATTACCAATTTAGGGGCTGGGGAGACAGCTTGGTGGTCCACTGAGCAAGCCACTGAAACTGGGCTTCACGGTGCATGCCTATAATCACAGCTCTGGGGAGGCTGAGACGGCAGGATCACTATGAGTTTGAGCTGTTCAGTGAGACCCTGTACCAAATAAACACATAAAATATTTAAAAATTTTTCAAAAATAATTACCAATTTAGCTTCCTTGTCACAGAGAAAATGTGAACCACCAACCCTGCAGACTTAGGGCAGCTCAGCTCCAAGCTGTCCCCATTTTGGTATGAAAAATTCTTGCCCAGATCTTTCCTAGCAGCATAAATTCTTATTCATATCCCAACACCTCCCTAAAACCTTCTCACATCAATCCAAATTACATCTAGAATTAGAGTCAACAAACATACTGTATTTTATTTAAATTATCTGCCCACTTTTCTCCCACCTTCAACAGTCTGATTTCCTTAAAGTCAACCAACACCTATGTCTTAATTCTATTTCTAATATATAATCCAGTGCTTCGCTGAGTGTGCATACATAACACACACTGAGCAAACCAAACTGTTGCAGTCTGGATACTGTTGTGTGTGATCCACCTAGTAGGTGTTACATCCAGTTATCATAAAATGCACTTAAGTTTAATATAATCCAGCCACAAGAAAATGAAGATTGACAAAGAGGATCTGCTGTCTCCTCTCATCTAAATCTCTGTAAGTACTAGAAACCAGAACCAAGATTTGAACCCATGTCTTTGTATTTGCAGTTCCATCATGTTTCCACAAAACTATCCCTTCATTTTCATTTTTTATCTTTTACATATATTTAGTACAGGGTCTACAGGGTCTCACTATGTAGATCGGACTCGTAGTGATTCTTCTGTTTTCAGCTTCCCAAGTGAAAACTATCACTTTAGTAAATAATTGTACTACATTTTACTCCTTTATGTTATACATAGGCTAGTGAGATTGTGATAGGGATTTAAACATCTCTTTGTTTCCATAATGCTTATTTCTGGTCTAAGCATGAGGAGGCTCACTTGTTGGTAACCCCTGTCTCTGGAGACTGGCACTCCAAAGATAGAGGTATTTTATCTCATTTAGGTTGCATTTGTCATATAACCCTTGCCACATGGGCTCCAGGTGATAAGACTACAAATGAAAACTTAAACTAAATCAGATCAGTATGTTTCTTTTCCTTGGAAATCTAGAATTACAATTTTGAGATTATAAATTTGTTGTGCAGCTTTATAACATAAAGCTGTGGTCCATGGAAATAGAAATTATTCTTTAGAATAAAGAAATAGAAATGAATGTGGCAGCCAGACAGAGATTTCCAGTAATGGTCTAGTCCTCACTAAACTGTTCTTTAGTCTCAGCTTCTTGCCCTCTGTTTTTAATGTAAATTCTTCCTTCGATGCTAAAGTTGGCTAAATATGCTTTTTGCTACTTAAAATCCTTAATCAGTTCACAGTAGATACACACACACAAATGATCCTGTTGGATGGAGTTGAAGAAATTCTCTTCTTAGTGTTCCTGAACTCCAAAAGGGGAAGCAAGCAGCTGTTTGTTCAGGGGAGACCTTTATAATATTGCTTTATTACTTATTTGAGATGCTTAAACTACACAAACTAGACATAAGAATATGTACATACACATTTTCTTTTCTTTTCCCTTTTTTTTTTTTTTTTTTTCTGAGACAGGCTCTTGCTATATGTAGCCCAGGCCGGCCTCAAACTCATGGCGAGCTTCAGTTCTCCTGCCTCTGCCTCCCAAGTGCTGAAATTATAGGCATGTGTCACCATGACCAGCAATACATGCATATTTGTAGATACAATATTAATCACTTTTGAGCTCTCTGTACTGTCATCTTTCTTATTTGTGTGAAGTGTACTTTAATGATGAAAAATGACTTTTTATATTGATTGATAGTATGTACTTTTTCTCAAATCCAAGTTTTGTTTTTAGAAAACTGACAAAGAAATTATACACGAACCTCTGTGTGTGTGTGTATACTCACACATAGATATTGTACAGATTACATAACTGTAAATATATTCATTAACATATTCTTAGTGCCATCAAGTACATTTTCTCTGTGTAATGAAGTATGAAAAAGAATGAGAAACAATTGAATGTCCAGCTCATTAGGTTTCCACTTACTTACAATTCATCTAATTAACTAGATAAGATTTCCTAGGTAAAGTTTATCCTTTATTTATTTATTTATTTATTTATTTTTTTTGGAGGAACTGGGGATCGAACTCAGGCCCTTATGCTTGCCAAGGAAGTGCTTATTTTACTGAGCCATCTCCCTGGCCCTAATTTTACTCTTAAAGAGTGAAAATATTTTATCTGTAAAATGTATTTCTATAAAGTGTACTAAACATTTCATTCTGTGAGTTTTGGGCCATTTAAGCTTCTTCATTGGTCACACAGCAATTGTCCTACTAGGTTATAAGCTCTCTCTTTGAGGTTTTATTTTGCAGAAAAGCTATTTCTTAATGTTCACTGAAATTTCATTTAATTGGGATAAGAATTATCTCAGGACTTAGGCTTAGATGTGTAGGAGATGGGAAGAAGACAGGACAGAGCAGTAGAGAGAACAGGCGCAGCATGAGCACGTTCCATACGCATCTCCATGGATGACTTTCACACAACTCCCGCATGAAGATCAGTTCCTGCACAACAGAGTTCGTACAGAACATTCGAGGATGCTTAGGGATGCTTTTTCCTATAAGGTTCTTCCAGTTTGCTGTGCCCTTCTAGTCTCCACCCCTGCTGTTGGCTGCCACTTAGCCCTGAGCTTTCAGTGTCTGCACCTAGTGGCTTCCCTCCTCCTTTCCACCTTTGGTCTGTGTTTCATTTCCTTCCAGTATCAGCCTAGGAAAAACTGCAGCACATCTGGGGAAAACAGCAGATGCAACCTGGTTCTTTCCAGCCTTATCTTCTGCGCAATGATAAATGAGTACACCCAGGACTTGACATGACTCCTCTCCTTTCACGTACAGACCAGGACTGTCCATTCTGTTCAAGGCACTTTTACACAGTGGAAAGGACTGTAGTTTTCTACATGTGAAAACCATAATCAAAAGTCTAATCATTAAATCAATAGCAGCCTTGTTGTTTTTGCTTTTGGAGATTGTGGCAGTTTGAAAATTGACCCCAACCTCTTCTGCCTTGCTCCAGATGCCCTCTAGAGATATTTTCCAGCTTCCATAGGTGTGACCTTATGATTGTGTTTTTTTCTGGGGAGGTATGGATCAAAACGATGTACACAGCTTTTGCTCTTTTCAGAACTGAAATCTTTTGCTCTTCCTTCTTGCAGACTGCAAGACAAACACCGGAGACCAGCCTCACCTGCGCCCATGAGGACAACAGTCTAGAGATGGCGTTCTCCCTGGGTGTCACGTGCCCTGTCGCTCTCTGAACGGGTCAGAGAGTTTCATAAAAATAGCAATAAATGTCCATTCAAACAGATTTGAGTTTCATTAATACAGTATTTCACCTATCATAGAAATCATAAAGAATTCACAAATATTTAAATAAATTATATTCTAAAAATTGATTTGTGTACTGTACAACAATGCAAAAATGAACTATTAATGGACTACTGATACTGGAAAGGGATAGATGAAGTGGTTATTTGCAAATGGCATGATTGTGTATGTAGAAAATCCTAAAGAGGGTGGGAAGATAGCTCAGTAGAATAAGTGCTTACCTGGCAAGTGCAGGGTCCTGAGTTCAATCCCCAGTACCACAAAAAAGGAAAAAGAAAAATCCTAAAGAATGTACAGAAGTCTATGAAAAGCAGTAAGTGAATTTAGCGAGATTATAGAATATATGATCACTAGCAAGATTTATATTTGGACTATTTTAATGCATTAACTTAGCTGGTATTAACTGCTGGAGATCCATGTACCTGCAGGAAAAAGCCTCCAGTTTCTAGTATTTCTTAGGCTAGTAAGGGAGGCAGCTATGTGAGTTCCACTGCTGTATGAAAGGAGAAGAGGCAGTGCATTTGAACAACTGGAGCTGAGCTGAGCTTGGGCCATTGTTGAAATCTAAGCCTCAAAATTTTTTACCTAATGGGTCTATATAATTCTTTTCTTATCTAGATCTCACTTTCCTAATCTGTAAAGTAGTAGCAGTAATTCCTGTTTTACATGATAGAGATACATAAAAGTTTTACCAAAAGAATTATATTGAACATTATTGGCATGTGCTCAATAAAATTACAGGTATTTCAGTTATGGTTATTCTAGAGCTGTAACAAACTGCTG